GATGAAACTTAGTTGACTTTTATTTGTATTTCATAACCATTCAACAAATTTATTTTGTGTACATTATTATAATCACTACTGAGTACAGTAATAATCAACAATTCAGAAACGCAGCATGCCGAGATTTTTGTGTTCGTTTTTATTTGAAACTTCGTTTATTTAGAATATATTTTCGTTACCAATAAAATAAAAATCTCTCAGTCAATCAGAAACCCGGATTCATGCCTTCGAGGAAGGTCCCGTTTGAACGCTCACATCGGTTTTTTTTTTCGTTTGGGGGAAAACTAAAACTGGTCGCAATTTTCGAATAAGAATGAGTCGGCAATTTTTAGTGGAGTCGAAAATTTGGAGGTAAATAAAACACCGAAACCCGGCAAATAAATAGCCAATCGAATTTTTAGAGGGGTCGAAATTTTGGAGTTTTCACGGTACTAATTATTCCATTTCAATGAAACTTAGTACAAAGATGCTCTAGGACAATGTACAAACCTAATTAGTTTGGGGTAAAAATCTGTTCATATTAATTCCCTAATAAGCATAATAATTCATAATTTTTTGGTTCTAATCACATTTCAATTAAACTTGGAGACATAGATTTTCTGTTACATTGCGCAGACCTCATTAGTTTTACACTCAAATCTGGTCATATTAATTTTCTGATTTGCATAATTAGTTTTCAGCTAAGTAATTTCGAATTATATTTAATGTGTCTCCAATACTCTCAGCACATGGGAGTTCTTTCTAAGCTTTCTTTGATTTTATCTTGATGCTTATTTTCAGAAATTATGGCAATGCTTGTGATATCAATGGGAAAGTGCCAACATTTTAATATTCCATGTAATGATACTTTTTTATTAATTACTCATGGTGTAAACATTGTATTTACAGGTATTACTGTACATGCGTATGTGTCTGGCCCATGATTCAGGACTATCCCTAGAATCAGATCTCAGTAATCCAACTATAGAGCATGCACCTGCTATTAGTCAGTATGTGACTAAGTTACTGAAGACTAGCAAAGATCACAGTGCCATACAGACATATATAGATATGACTACAAAGCTGCTGGCTACATCACATGGACATGTATCTATGTATTGCTTGTTAGAAATCATTGCTGTGGCTTCTGGTAAACTAGCTTCTCAGATTGTTGACAAGCTGGAGTGGATTAAGGTAAGGTGCATGTATGTAAATAGGTCTCTATGTGGTAGTTGAGTGCGGTAACTAATAAGTCAGTAATACCAAGAACAACACGGAAATATTAACACAACTCACCAAAACAAATATGGCGCCACTCATGAACATAACACCCCGAGTCCGACCCGAACGTCTTCGGAAATCTCCGGAAATAAGGGATGTCCAATAAATAAAGTTCGCAGGGGGAAAAAGTAAACAATAGTTATCTGTTACTGTCCGTCTCAGTTTTCATGAAGAAACAAGTTGAGCGTACACTCACTTTCAAAAGTAATCGTGGACCCAAACGATGGAATGCTTGAGATAGTTTACTTGTAAATTGAAGTCTTGCGGCCTAATTAACACCTCGACCAAGGTGTGACCACCTTATTGTTTATGTGTAATTGGTGGCATTTTACATTACAGATGTCACTTGTGGACAACTAACTAGTAGAGTCCCAACAAGAATGGGTGGGATGTGAAGCATTATATATATTAATAAATCTGTTTCCATCTTCGTTAGATAAATATGGCCAATTGAATATCGAGTTTTCATTAAAATATCAGTGTTCAAGTGACTATGCATACATGTAGCTCTGATGTATGCCGCACATCAAAATATCGACTCAATTGTTGTTATCACAGTGGGTGATGGCTGTGTTTTAAATTCAGACAAAGATTATCACAGTTATAGACAAAATGCCAGTGTCTGGTGATTTTTAATTCCAGTGACGTTACTAATCAGTGAAATACTAATTATCTGTGTATATCTAGGTCTACATTTCAAACGTATTTTATGAATGTTGGCAGTACGATCACGGAATGATTCACATACTTCAAACGTATTTGCATAAATGTTGCGATGTGCAACTTTGCACTACCACTGCTGTAGTGTAAATCTATGAAGGTTGATCCGGACATAAGAGCAAAATGGGAATGTACATTTCATTAGTCCCCGTTCGAACGCAGTCCGAAAACGGAGACTTATGTTTTGACCTATGTGCGTGCGTGCGTCTGTGCGTGCATCCGTGCGTGCGTCCAGACCTGTATCTTAGAAATGCCTGGATCAATTACAATCAAACTTCACACATACGTCATACATGATATTATACATATGCACGTCAATTTGTTTCACGATCTGATTCAAGATGGCCGAATGGCGGCCATTTTTGTGCTAAAAAATGATCAAAATCAAGCATTTCTCGGCTGTTTACAGATGGATTTTGTTCAAACTTAGTATATACATTAGACATTATAGGACCTTGATGCACATCATTTTGTTTCCTGATCTGATTCAAGATGGCCGAATGGCGGCCATTTTTGTGCCAACAAATCCTAAAAATCAAGCATTTCTCGGCTGTTTACAGTTGGATTTTGTTCAAACTTGGTATATACATGAGATGTTATGGGACCTTGATGTAAATAATTTTGTTTTCCAGATAAGAATGTGGCTCTCGTGTCATGTCTCTGACTTGTTTTCACTGATTATATTCAAATTTTAAATAATCATTATACATGATGTCATAGATAGACAGATATATTGGTTTGACGATCCTATTCAAAATGGCCAAATGGTGGCCATTTTGTGCTAAAAAATCATCAAATATCAAGCATTTCTGGCATTTATGGATGGATTTCGTTCAAACTTGGTACATATATTAGACAGGTTCCTGATTCACATCATATATTTTTCAGATCGGATTCAAAATGGCTGTCTGGCGGCCATTTTGTTTTAATGAATGGGCTTGTAGACCCATATCTCCGACTTGTTTTGACTGATTATGTTCAAATTTTAAATATTCATTATACATCATGTCATAGATAAACAAATATATTGGATCCTATTCAAAATGCCCGAATGGTTGTAATTTTTGTGCTAAAAAATCATCATATATCAAGCATTTCTGGCATTTATGGATGGATTTCTTACAAACTTGGTACGTACATTAGACAGGTTCCGGATGCTCATCATTTTATTTTTCAGATTGAATTCAAAATGGATGACTGATGGCCATTTTGCTTTAATGATTGGGGTTCTAGAGCCATATCTCTTAAATGCTTTGACTGATTATATTCAAATTTTATATATTCATTATACATCATGTTATATATATACATGTATTCAAAATGGCTGGTTTTGATTGCTGTTCCAGAGCAATAACTCTCAATATGGACAAGTACAAAAATGTACAAGTACTTGTTTGACGATCAGATACAAATGTCAATCATTTTAATGTTAAAAAATCATATTCCAGCTATATTACCAAAAACAAAACTATATATCTTAAATTTAATAACTAACTGCGACTGTGCCATGCATACCTTGTTAATTAATAAAACGTCATTTTTGTATATGTGCACACTTTCACTTCATGCAAGTGTACACACAAGTGTCACTGAGCTTTGTTTACAAACTCTAGACAAAACAAACGTCAAAGTTGCATCTTTATTTCTATTTATTATTAGTAAATCAAAATGCTACTTCATGTAAAACTTCATGTATACTTCATGTATATTGAGTTGATTTTCAGGGATTGAATATTGACAAGGGAGCATGAAGACACACTAGAAAATAAAGTGTGTGACAAAATTGTGCCATTATATGTGAAACGGCTTGGTACTGGGTTGCAGTAGAAGCTACACATGTTCAATTGGTAGCTGATATATTAGATTCTCACTCTGAATATATATCAGGCTTCTCTGATCCAGTTGAAAGTGATTAAAAAAGACACTGATATTATGTTGGATGTTGTCATTGCCCCCTTCTACTCAATAAAATGATTTGTGCTTACCTGGAATGGAAACAGAAATATTCAAAAATAATGTTAAATAGTGCAGGTTGGTAAATTTGAAAGTTTCCCCCTCTGGTGTCTGTAACACAATTTTAAGAAATACAATTGGTACACCTTTGTACATTCAATTTTCTTATAATATTCTCTACACCAGGGTCTGATGCATTCAAGTCGTGAAGAAATGAGAGAGAATGCATCTCATTTGTTTGCTGTTGTAGCATGTACAATGGAGAGTGAAAGGTTATTACAAGTAATAAAAGAACTTACAAAGAATGTCAGCAGTAATAAGGTCAGTTGGTATCAGTCATAATGAGTCTATAATTTAGTAATTGCAGTATCATTGGCATGACTGAGCCACTATTTAATGGTTACAGTCAAAGCTGTACTATATATTTGTATCACATGACATGCATTGAAGCATTGTTACCTTTCCAACACAACTGTAATAACACAGAATATACAATTATGTTTATTATTGCCATATAGATTTATTCTACAGTAAAGATGCAAACTTATACTAGATTGTAATATGAAGTGAATAGTGATACTAAAGGCATCTTAGGAAACAGAAGGATTGTGTAACACTTATATATGAACAGTTACATATGCAAGAACTATATGCAGCATGGATCTTTA